TTTCTGTCTCTCTCTTTTATTTTTTCTATTTTTTTATGTTTTCCCTCCATTTTATTTTAATGTTGTGCTTTTTGGGTCAATACAATTGCTTTCTGCCTATTTTATGCCTTTTGGCCTTCCTGTTCTATTGTCAGAGAACATTTTTCAATATTTTCTTCAAAATTTCTATTGAATGTTTTATTTCTGCTATTATTGTTTAAATTTGTGTCTTAGTCCATTTTGTGATAATGTAACAGAATATGACAGGCTGGGTAATTTATATCTCTGTTTAAATGAACAGAGATTTATTGGCTTTCAGTTATGGAGGCTGGAAAATCTAGTAAGAGCATTGTTACTGTGTCATGACATGGCAGAGGGCAAGGAAGTGAGATGGCAAGAGAGGGCAAACTCATTCTTTTTTATTGGCATTAATCCTGCCCATGAGAGAAGAGTCCTTATGACCTAATCACTTCCTAAAGGTCCCACTAATACTGTCATATGAGTTTTGGAGGGGATAGACATTCAAACCATAGTAATAGACAAAAACTTTCTTTATTTCTGAATTTCTCTTTGATAGAAAGATAAGGGTCAGGATGGGGTAGAGATTGTCTTATTGCTATTTATATAATATTTCTACCAATTCTACTTTTCAGCTTTACATACACCCCTGTCTTCAAAGTAGCTAGAGCCTCAGAGTCTTGAGCTCTGCTAAGTGTCCCTGGTGTCATCTGAATTACTTCTTCTTGGTTCCTGTCATTATAAGCTTGAGGTTCAGCTTTGTCAGGTGTGCTAAAACACTTTTCACAGTCCATCTGTTTCATGGTGTTTAACATTCTGTTGACATTTCTTGATACTGTTCTCTCCTAGGTTTGCAAGTATATGAGGTCAAGGAAGTGTTCATTTTGTCAGCTTCTAAACGCTGTACCTAACATTTTGAAAATGTTGAGTAAACTAGTAAAGAAGATTAATCTGATATTTGAAAGATGAAATGGAAAGGAATGGTGGAAATGTACTCTAAGCAGAAGGAATTGGCATATGAAAGATCACAGGTGAGATGTAGCAAGGTACGTCAAGAACCTGAAAAATGGGGTGGACCCATAACCCGGTGGTCAAGGGAGCCAAATCCCACATGACTGACCACAGTTCAAATCCTGCTCTTGAAAAATGCTCCAGTGCATGTGCATGCATGCCCCAAATCCCAATAGGATGAAGAAATGGAAAAGGGATTGTGGCGTCACCATGTCTCATTGGGAAGTGCTTACTCTGTCTCTTGTTTTTCTCTGGCGAGTACATATGCATCTGGCAATTTTAAAAAATTGACAAAATCTGGATATTACTGAAGTGAAGAGTATGAAGTTGTTTGAGAAATATAAAGAAAGAGAAAAGCTGGAAAATTTAGCAGAGAACAGCTCATTGTTAGATCATGTATTAATAGGGGTTTTCCAGAAGAAAAGAATAATGGGATGTGTATGTAGGCATGTATGTGTGTGTATACATATATATATGTATGTATACATACACACATATATGTATGTATGCATGTATGTGTGTATGCATATATATACACACACATATACTACATATATATATATATGTTTGTTTATTTATTTATTTATTATAAGGAATGGGCTTACAACATTGTTTAAATTTGTGTCTTAGTCCATTTTGTGATAATGTAACAGAATATGACAGGCTGGGTAATTTATATCTCTGTTTAAATGAACAGAGATTTATTGGCTTTCAGTTATGGAGGCTGGAAAATCTAGTAAGAGCATTGTTACTGTGTCATGACATGGCAGAGGGCAAGGAAGTGAGATGGCAAGAGAGGGCAAACTCATTCTTTTTTATTGGCATTAATCCTGCCCATGAGAGAAGAGTCCTTATGACCTAATCACTTCCTAAAGGTCCCACTAATACTGTCATATGAGTTTTGGAGGGGATAGACATTCAAACCATAGTAATAGACAAAAACTTTCTTTATTTCTGAATTTCTCTTTGATAGAAAGATAAGGGTCAGGATGGGGTAGAGATTGTCTTATTGCTATTTATATAATATTTCTACCAATTCTACTTTTCAGCTTTACATACACCCCTGTCTTCAAAGTAGCTAGAGCCTCAGAGTCTTGAGCTCTGCTAAGTGTCCCTGGTGTCATCTGAATTACTTCTTCTTGGTTCCTGTCATTATAAGCTTGAGGTTCAGCTTTGTCAGGTGTGCTAAAACACTTTTCACAGTCCATCTGTTTCATGGTGTTTAACATTCTGTTGACATTTCTTGATACTGTTCTCTCCTAGGTTTGCAAGTATATGAGGTCAAGGAAGTGTTCATTTTGTCAGCTTCTAAACGCTGTACCTAACATTTTGAAAATGTTGAGTAAACTAGTAAAGAAGATTAAGCTGATATTTGAAAGATGAAATGGAAAGGAATGGTGGAAATGTACTCTAAGCAGAAGGAATTGGCATATGAAAGATCACAGGTGAGATGTAGCAAGGTACGTCAAGAACCTGAAAAATGGGGTGGACCCATAACCCGGTGGTCAAGGGAGCCAAATCCCACATGACTGACCACAGTTCAAATCCTGCTCTTGAAAAATGCTCCAGTGCATGTGCATGCATGCCCCAAATCCCAATAGGATGAAGAAATGGAAAAGGGATTGTGGCGTCACCATGTCTCATTGGGAAGTGCTTACTCTGTCTCTTGTTTTTCTCTGGCGAGTACATATGCATCTGGCAATTTTAAAAAATTGACAAAATCTGGATATTACTGAAGTGAAGAGTATGAAGTTGTTTGAGAAATATAAAGAAAGAGAAAAGCTGGAAAATTTAGCAGAGAACAGCTCATTGTTAGATCATGTATTAATAGGGGTTTTCCAGAAGAAAAGAATAATGGGATGTGTATGTAGGCATGTATGTGTGTGTATACATATATATATGTATGTATACATACACACATATATGTATGTATGCATGTATGTGTGTATGCATATATATACACACACATATACTACATATATATATATATGTTTGTTTATTTATTTATTTATTATAAGGAATGGGCTTACAACATTATCGAGGCTGACAAGCCTCAAAATCTTTAGGGTGATTCAGTAAACTAGAGATCTAGGTAAGCAAATGTTTCACCTTGAGTCCAAAGGAGGAAAATCTGGTATCTCAGTTTGAAGGCAGTCATTCAGAAAGAATTTTCTGTTATACGGAAGTGGGTCAATCTTTTCATTCTATTACTATTTGGGCCTTAAACTGATTGAATGAAGATCACCCACATGAAGGAGAGCCATCTGCTTTCCTCAGTTTACCAACTGAAGTGCTAACTTCATCCAAAACATTGTCACCAAAACCCCCAGTACTATGTTTGACCAAATATCTGTGCACCCTATGGTCTAATAAAGTTGACACATAAAATTAGCTATCACACCCTGTAAGCAATAGGGGGCTATTTTATGATCTGCATTAGTTTCATAGAGCTATCATAACTAATTACCACAAACAATGTGCTTTAAAATAACAGAAATGTATTGTCTTAAGTTTTAAAGGTTAGAAGTTTAAAATAAACTAAGGTGGGATTATCCGTTCTGAGAGTCATGAAAGATTTGTCCCATGCCTTTTTCCTAGATTTTGGTGATTTTCTGGCAATCTTGGTCATCCTTAGCTTACAAAAACATCACCCATTTTTTGCCTTTTTATATACATCTGTGTCCAAATTTCCCCATTTTAAAAGAAGAAGTAGGGCCTGTTCTTATGATCTCATCTTAATTTGATCATCTATAGACACCCTAATTCCAAATAAGGGATCATCTGTAGACAATGGGATTTAGAACATTTTTTGGTGTGACGCAATTTAAAACAAAGTCTTAAAGGAAAGTGATGCAACTGGACCTATGTTGAAAACAATTCCCCTAGGTCCAGTGAGAAGAATGAGGATTAGAGCAAGACTAGAGCAAGGGTGAGGAGAATAAAGACCAGATCATCTCAGAGGCCTTTGTCTTCAGCTGAGTATAAAGGGATGTTGGTGGCAATAGGAAAAAGAGACACTTGATAGACAGAAAGAACAAGAAAGAACTGACTGACTATAGAGGAAGAAAGAGATTGAATAAAGTAGAAGAAGGACTCTAGAACTGACTCAATTTCTGAATGGGAAACTGGCTGGTAGAGAGTAGTCCCATTCAATGACACAGGGAACTCTGGAGGAGTGGTTTCAAAAGAAGGACTATAAATTTTGGAAATATAATCTTTACATTTTTTTAAGTTCTAGAAGCTGTGTACACTTGCTAGAGAGAAACAAAGAAGAGAAAGCACCTTCTCAATGGGGAGTGGTCATGCCATAATCCTATCTCCTCCATTTCTCTATCCTGTTGGGATTTGGGACATGCACACACATGCACCTGGGATGTTTTCTGAGATGCTAAGGCTGTGATTCAGACTGTGGTCACTCATGTGGAATCCAACTCCCTTAACATAGGGGGCTATGGCTGCCCCCTTCTCAATGTTTTCTTTTTCTTTTCTTTTTAAAAGTTATTTATTTATTATTATTAGTTTGCTATAAGGCACATGTATTCAACAGAAAAAGACAAAGATAGTCAGAGAAAAAGTAAGAAAACAAACCACCTGGTCCAGGACATGAACCATGGTCGGCCATGTGGGAGTCCAGACCCTTAAATACCATGCCACCTGCTGGCCCATGATGGTT